GGTCCCAGACACGGTCAAACGGTCAGTCTAAAGAGAAGAATATTAAAACTGATAATTTATCTACACTGAGTTTCTACTTACATAAATATTCATGATAATGAATTGACTGATTCAGCTGTAAGAAAGAGTTGAGAATTAAGCAGATCTATTCAAAAAACACTGTTCTAATCTTTTATAAAGAGAAAGATAAAAGAATCTTATTTAGATAAGTGAAATGAAAGCTGATAGAAATAAAAGAAAAGTATACATTATTCAAGATTTGAGATAAAATCCAAGTGAAAATCTTATTTAATTAAATATAAAAAGAAAATATTCTCATCTATAATTCAGTTAAAACTAGAATATGATTATTTTAAATCTTATATACAAAGATTTGATAATAGATTTGATTCAACAGAATGCTAATTCTGCAATGTAAATAAAAATTCTGAGTATATTATAATGCATTGAACACTATACAATAGTCACAGAGTCAGATTGAAAGAGAAGTATAATTTAAATTAATTAAATATGAGATTCTTATTCTTAACTGAGACAGAAATTAAATACTTATAGACTTTCTGTCAGAAACTCAAGCAGCTATAAGAAAATGACTAAATTCAGAAATATCTGAATATGAAGAGGTGGAAATTGATCAGATATATTCTGTTAAAACAGCTATACAACAGCTATATACTATTTTTTAATAATTTTATTTTATTATAGTCTCTCTTTACTTTACTTTTTCTTTTCTCTTCTTTTCTATCTACTTATTTAATATGTCTATCTTTAAGACTTTGTTCTCTTTTCTTTTATCATGATATTTTCAAATAATTTCAAAGTATCAGAAGATGCTAAAATACTGTAATTTATAAAGAGTTTTTATATTTTGAGCTGAAATTTTCTGATTTTACATATCTGAAATTGATAAATATATAATAGTTGACTTTATAGATATTAGAAAAACTCTGAGAACTAAAAGTTTTCAGATAGATGTTATAGTCTCTGACTTCATACATCTACAATTGAAGAATAATAATAATAATAATAATTATATCAAGATACTATCAGGTAGCCGCATTAATTATTCAGTCACTGAGACTCAGAGAATAGACTGATACAGATCTATTATTCTGAAGAAATTTATTAAAGTAGATATATTTATAATATTGAATTTAATAGTTATAAAAAGTTTCTTAATATCTGTAGATATAATAACTTTATATATAACAAAACTCATAATAATTTTCTCTAAGAATAGAAAAATCAGTGTTAGAAAGAGAAGATGAAAAAGAAAAGACTTACACTCTTAATACTGTTAAGAAGAAGAATAATTCTAAGAAATAAATATATAATTATCTCATTATAAATACTTATAATAAACATAATAATCAGTGTCTATAATTAAATTTCAGATAGTTATATTATACACAGTCTTTATATAATAAATTGTTCTAAAGATTAGTAAAAAGAGCAGAAGTATATATACTGAAAAATAAGATTTATCAAGTCTACACAATATCTTCTCAAAATGAGAACAGTTGAAAGTAATAGCTGAAGTAGCAGAGACAGAAGTAATAATAATAGAAGTAGTAGAGAGTTAAAAACAAAGAGAGTCAGACTAGCAGAGGCAGAAGTAGTAAGAATAAGAGAATCAGATATAGAGACAAGTGTAAAAAATTAAGAGAGAGTAGACTGGCCGGCGGGACCATGAATTTCACATTTGGTCCCATTTGGTCTGGTCCCATACATTTCTTGGCGTGAGTCCCACCAGGACCAAGCCTCAAAAAAATCTGAAAATGGATCATTTCTGAGAGAAATGACGTGAAAAATGACCAGATTTAATTCAAGAACAGTGAAATGGGAGTAATTTCTCAGGATAAACTGTGAAAGATGATCATTCTTTCAAAATCAGAATGGGACTGAGACTGAAGGTCAAAATCAGTCCCATTTGATTCATTCAGTGATTGCTTATATAATCAGAATTTGGTAACAATTATTGGTAACACTTATGAAACAACTAAATACATTCTTGTGCAAGTTTATTCTTCACTTTCTCATGAAAACTACACTTCTCTGATATACTGTGATCAGAGGTATTAAACTGTCTGATAATTCCATGTTTTACAATCATGAGTTTCTTGATTGTTTCTTCTTGTAATTGTCCCCAGTGATAGTGATAAATATCTCAACTTGAGTTGAACTTTCACTCCATTCTCACCCCTGTCAATGAAATTATCAGAATATCATGCATCATCAGTGCAACAGTTGAATATGTACTCTCAACAATTTTTCATAACTCTAGAATTGATTTGGCGCGTAAATTTGTCAGATCATCTTGAAGATAACAGTCAAATTCAGTTTTACAAGCATGTAGTTTTGCCTGATTTTCAGTTACAATCAATGTATGTAAGTCCTGTTTCAAAGTTAGTATTATAGTTCTATGAGATATGAAGTGTTACCAAAGATTGTTACTTACTAGAGAATTGTATTTCACTGTCTTCACATCTTGAACATCTGCTCATTCAAATCTCTGATAGTTAGCATTGTAGTAGTCTCAGGCTAATTTGACATATGAGTCTTGTTCCTCCTCTGTTCAATCTTGAGAAGTGTAGATGTTAACTCAATGAGAGAGATCTAGTAGAGCTGCTACAGCATAGTACTCTGCAAAAGATTGTTCAGTTTTGCTGTAGTAATATGCCAGTTTATTCCTTGTAGTAATAATAGCCTGTGCTATAGCATCATCTCAGACTGAATTTCTTTTTGAGTGATTCAACTGCTTCTCAAGATGAGCAAATAAACTGTTATACACTCACCAGGCTGACTGCAGCATTGGTGTACAAGTGATTGAGACTGTCTTTGTTGTCTTATAAAACTGAAACAGTAAATCAATCACATATTTCAACTGAGTTCACTTCATATCAGAAAGTTTCAATATCTGGATCTTTTCCTGATCAGAGTGTTGCACTCAATGATTAATCACCTGATGCAATTGAAGAGCCTGAACAGTCATCTCATATGTTAAACTTCACTGTGTTCTAACATTCTGTATCATATTCAGTGATGTGACTGATTTGTTTGTTTATTGAATATCATGAAATTATTGTTGTTGTTTAGAAGAGATACAAATTGCATTAGCAATGTTTTAAATCTATGATATTTAAATTATTAGTCAATCTATTCAAAATTAACAGTAGTGTTATCAAAAAGTGTTATCAAAAAGCAATATCAAAAAGTGTTATCAAAAAACATTATCTTTTACAAAGTGAATGTAAAAGTTACTTGAGTAATCACTTTCATCTCATTCTCATCTCAAGAATCAGCCATCTCATTATTCTTTATCTCAATGTTAAGATTCTTTATCAGTGTTTGCATCACAAGTTGAACCACATGAGCAATGCAGGGGATATGACCTTGTTTATCATTTCAGGAATGCAAAGCCAATTTTTGCTCCAAGCTCTTCATCATAGTGTAGTTATTCGCAGCATTATCAGTTGTAATTGTAAGAAGACTGAGACTAATATCTCAATAGTCATTTTTAATCACAGTCATTAATATCTCTGCTATATAATCCTCAGTATGACTACTGATCAATGATTCAAATTCAATTAATGTCTCTCAATAAGTTCAGTTCTCATCAATGTAATAACATGTAACTCTCATAAATGTAAGATTATTTGTACTAGTTCATGTATTCACAGTGAGAGACACTCTTTGATGATTCTTCAACTCTGATTCTAGATGTTGTATATTGACTTTGTAGTGTGTCTCAAGGTTGGACCAAAGACAGAATTGATGTGAAATATGAAGATTTGAATTAAGCATTTGAAGAAGTGTTCAGAATTCAGGGTTTTCAATTAATTGAAGAGGAAGATTCAGAGATAT